TTCCATCGTAGTTATCCTCTCGCAATCGCAATCTCGCTGCCGCCGTCCAACCGTCCTTGCTCCTCGCTTCTCTATGATCTCGACCTTGCTCCTCGCTTCTCTATGCTTGCTGGGGCAGCAGCTTCTCTCCATCTAGCCACGGACGGCAGCCGCGGGCGTGGCGACGACGGAGGGCGTGAAGCGCGGACGGCGGCCGGTGCACGGACGAGCTGCACGCGGACCCTGCAGCGATGGCGGCCTGCTAGGCGTGGACATGAAGCCGGTGAGTGGTGGACGAGCGACGGGCTGCGCCTGCGCACCGCGCGCGGCTGCTCGAGGGACGGGTCATGGCTGCACGGGAACACAGGTGGTAGCGGGCCCACAAACCACGGGGAACTGTGCAAGCGCTCGGCGACGCATCTCGCGACAAGCAGCTTGCGTGTTCACGTTTCTCTCTCTTTCACGTAAACATTTACTGACGTGGCTCGGCTATAAGTCAAGCTGATGTGTATTATTGTATTTGCTTTTATACATAAAAATATGTAAATTGAATCACTGCTTATAAAGGTATGTATGAGATAAAAGGAACCAAATTTTGTCCGAAACTCTTCCAGATTTTTTTTTTACTTTTATATTTACCGATAAAACAATTCAAAAGATTGTAGCAATTTTTGGTTTCAGCAAAAATCTGTTACACTGAAAACTATAGGGAACCCCTCATTTAGCACCTCTTGTAAAAATTTAATTGGGTCAGTTGGGATACCATAGAAAATACAATCACCTAGTGTATCTAAATTTCCCATGGTGCTGGATAAACCAAGGTGTTAAAACCTTTACGACACCCTTTTTCCAATCGCTTCATACTTCTCACACCAATGGCTAGAGAAGAAAGTATATTCTTTGTAAGGCATCAGTATTTGGAGATTATTAAGCCTTTGAAGGACAGAAAACCAAACTTTTCTTAACCACAAAAGAATACAGTGCTCTCTGGGGCAGTGACGATCTTTCTGTATGCTAACTAGCCTACCGGTTCAAGTGAGCAAAATAATGTATCCAATAAACAAATGCCAAGCATGGTTTGCCGTTTGCTTGAATATGTTCCACTGACAACCTTTACACATGTTGGTCAGACGTGTCTTGTTGTAAAATTAAAATTAACCCCTAAAGAAAGCCTCCCCAAGATATTTCATCATTAAGAAGACATCTCAGCTTTAGGAATATGAACTCACTCCGTTTTTTACATGTCGGTTTGTTCTAAGTCAAACATTTCTATATTTGACTATTAATTTTAAACAACCTATGGAGTTTCACAGCATGTAAACTATATACTCCCTCTAGGTTAGTAAAGGAAGTCGTTTTATACAAGGTTTGAGTTAAACATTGAGAATATAAATCATGAATAACTTTTAAGGTGTTGAGTTTGAAAACATGGAAACCATATGAATAGATTTATCTTGAAATATGCTTTCATAAAAACATATATATATATATATATATATATATCACTTTTCAATAAATATTTTTATAGAAATAAGAAATCAAAGTTATGCTTTGGAGACCGTGTGCTATCAAAACGACTTTTTTTTATCAACCTGGAGAGAGTATTACTTATAAGAGTATTTCTTATAATAAATCTAAAAACATAATCCTATATTGCTAATCTATACATTATTTTTAAAATTGATGATCGAAGATAGAAATGTTTGACTTAGAATAAAGCTAATATGAAATGTAAAAAAATGGAAGTAGTAGTTAAACTCTGATATGTTACAGCGTGTTTGGTTTGACGTCCCAACCCGTCTGGATCGGCTCCACTCCGGACGACCTCGTCCGCTGGTTTTTGGCCGGACGAGTTGGTTCCCTGAGAATGAACTGCTGCGAGGGCACGATGATGCGGGACGAGTCGGTGTCGCTCCTCAATCCAAACAGATCGGTAGGTTCGGTTTTTGGATCGGATGACTCCGGAGCCAACCGATGCCGCAATCCAAATACGCTATTAAAGTTTCCATCAGTTTTCAGTGATTCACAATGCGTATTAAGCACTTGAGCGGTTATCTTCTTGCTAGAAAAACACAGTATAGCTAGCATTATGCATTTCGTCTTCTCCACTTATTCTGGTCTCTTACGGGTGAACTTTGATATATAAATGTTTGTTTAACATGGTAGTATAGATGGGAATTGAGAGCAAATTGAAAATTGCTTTTATTTGTCCTTGACCTACTCCAGATATCTAGACGACCTGGTTAACGTCGCCACCATGAGTCCCTATGGATTTGAGGACTACCATGGTGTGGACATCGGTGTCCTTAGGGCGGTTCGCCTGTGGTACACTCCTGTGGCAAGCGAGCTAGCACTAGAGATCAAGCTGCTGCCAGGCGACACCAGGTTAGGCTTCGCTATAAGCCGCACAGAAGAGGTGAGAACCCTCACAAGTTATGGTCTAAACTGTCATATACTACTACAGTACACACTTCGTTTCAAATTATAAGTTATTTTAACTTTATTAGAAAGTTTAAACATCTCAAGTTTGACCAAAATTATAGGAAAAAATTATAAAGAGTGAAAGCATCTAGGCCCTTAGTTGGGTTTCGGTGATTAATGACAATATGTGATTACTATGACTAACGTGTGTTTTGCAGAAGCAATTAAGTTAGGTCATGATAATGGAGATCGATTGGGCAATCATGGTTGTCATGCCACTACGATGGAAATCGTTTTGGTTTCAAATGATGGACGACAAGATTAAGGATGGACTAGTTCTAAGTGTTGTTTGGTGTTGAAGAGACACTTATAGTAGTTTATGACTTTGTTTTTCCTTTAACCGTACTATTAAGGGGGTATGGACGGGTAGCTTGACCTAGGTGAGTCTAGTAGGTTAGTGTCGATGTTTCACCACCGATAGCCTGCCACGGGGGTACCCGGGGCAGTTTGTTCGGGTTTCAGTGTATGCGGAACTCGACGGTAAACGTAAGAGACAGTCGATTTATTCTGGTTTGGACCTTCGATCATTGATCGAGTAATAGCCCTACGTCCAGTCGGTATTAGCCTTTGCGTTGGATTGATTGTAAAGTGTTGTGTCGTAAAGTCCCGTCTCTAGTAACCCTGCCCTCCTTTATATAGTCAGGAGGTCAGAATCCTAGTTGGTTTACAATGAGAGTTTCTAGTAGGATTACAGAATAATACTACTACTAGGATTACATGGAAAGAATCTTAGTTAGATTAGATCTTCTCTCTTCCTTGCGGGGTATCCCGTGGGTTCCACACCGACAAGCCCCCGAGCACTTCATGGTTGAGCTTCTGGAAGCATCATCTTGTTCCTTCAGGTCTTGCCGAGCAGGAACAAGCGTCGTCCGAGTGTTTTTTTGAGTGAAACCGTGTAGCGCTTCGTAAGATCTTCGCGTGATGTGTACCTTTTTGAAGAAAAAAGTACTCCCATTTGGGTGTAGCCCCCGAGCCTCTTGCTTTTTGGCACAAGGAGCTAGAGGGTCTTCTCTTGAGGGTTCCTGAGCATATACCCGGGTTCTTTATCAAAAAGAGCTCGGATATAATTAGGCCCAGGTTCTTTTTGTCGTGAGGTCTTGAAGTGATCTGTCTTGAAGAAGTCTTCTTGGTGATGTGCGCTTTTTCGGAGAAAAAGGTGCACTCATCGAGTGCAGCCCCCGAGCCTCTTGCTATTTAGAACAAAAAGTTGGAGGGTCTTGAATGTTATGTTGTTTTGAAAACTGCTGTCTTGAAAAAGTCTTCTGAGTGATGTGTGCTTTTTCGAAGAAAAAAGTGCACTCATTGAGGGTAGCCCAGAGCCTCTTGCTATTTGGGACAAAGAGTTGAAGGGTCTTGAATCTGAAGTTGTTCAAAGAACCTGAAAATCTCTCTGTTGCAGCCCCGAGCATATACCTAGGTTCTTTTATTTGAAAATAACTTCAAAGTGCATGTGGTCTTGGCATGTTCTCCGGTAGTCTCTTTGTTGTCGATGTAGTTGTATGGTGGTGGTTGAAAGTAAATCTTTGTTTGTTCACGAATTGTACGGTGTTGGTATATTTTTTGAATATGCTCGTTCTTGAGTATTGTTCCTTTATGTCCGAGTCCTCTTTCATTGAATTCTGTCTTTTCACTTTGTGTCCTTTGTCGAGTTTGTTCTATTGGTGCTCCCGGTCCATGTGCACCGCTTATTTGATCTATAAATATCCTCCTGGTGTGCTGTTTTGATTCATCGAGCATTTTGTTGCGTGGTCTGAAATCTCCGAAGTCATGCATATGATAGTTTGTGAAGTAGAGCAGCCCCCAAGCGTATTATGTAGTTCTTGTACATCTTGTCGTAGCTGGAGGGAGTCTTGTGATAGGGATTAGAGGTAGACTAATCCCTTGATGAGATTGTACTTGGAAGTACGTGGCGGTAGTCGGAGGGAGTCTTGTGATGTGTGATACGTTCCTTCATCTGTTAGTTCTGGGTTGATCCTCGTTGCCTGCCCTGAGACTGTCCGGTGCAGATCAGCACCATATCCAGCATCACATCGGACTTGGGTAGACAGATGTCTGCCGGCTTCCCCTGGTCTATGTTGTCCCGCCGTGCTGCTGATTTATGCCTTGGATGCACTGCGCCCGTCCTTTGAAGAAAACAGTGTAGCCGAGTGCGGTTTGTTCTACCGAGTAGCAATTTAGAACACGTAGACCTTCCAGAGCCTAGCTGTGTCCGGGTTCCTCTTTGCTACCTTGCTTGTCGTAGTACCGAGTACTGGATTCCTCTTTCCTATCATGCTGCCACAGCCATGCTCCACAAGCTTTGTGGGGTTCAATGGTTGTGATCAGCAGCATACAGTAGTAAGCTAAAGAGGTTAACGTTATCTATGTATATTATATAAGGCAATGCCTTCAGCAGACATACACATGTATATTATATAAGGCAATGCCTACAGCAGACAACTTGTATGTTATTACCCCCACTGTGGAGCACCTTTCCTTTTTTTCAGCAAGCATATTCTTCGTCTACCAGCAGTCATCCAAGTACTAAAGTCAAGATCTATTCAGCCCGCAGAAAGGGGACCGTCTCTTAGCTGGTGGAGAGAAAGTTGTAGTTGCTTATGGATCATCTTGGCCACCAGTCGCAATCTCCCATTGCCTGTCTCTCCAATCGCGGGAGACCCATTTGCTGTCTCCACTGTCCTGGCAACCATTTGCTTACAATTTTCCCAGTCTTCATCTTTCAACCAGAAAGATTTCCCACCATGGCTCCCCTCCATTGTGAGGCACGCGACATGACAATTGTCCCCAAAGGTGTACCTCAGTCTCACAGACATGCAATAAGGCAACCAAGCAGCTCCACCAACACTGGAATTATGTTTAAGAGCATGGTCGAGTACAAAAGTTAGGCCAAAATCGACTGAACGGTTGGCTCTGTCATGCTTAATGTTGCTCTTTGATGAAGACGAACTCTCAGCATGGTCATTTGAAACCGATCCATGGTGCATCTCCAAACAGAGTTCAACCTGAACCCTATATGCACTCGCAATTTCCCCATGAACCTGGGACTGACTTTTCTTCCATGCAAGTAGACTTATGAATTCTCGCATAACAGGAATTGGTAATGTAAGCAAAGTGATAAAAGAAGCAACTCTAGAAGCATCATATGGTTCACAGACGACACGCCTGCTGAAATAGTCACATATTTATTTATCTCTGATGTTGCTAGCTCTTCCTGAGCAGGGCTCTGAGCTTGCTGCTGATGTTTCTGTGGCTGGTGATGAAATCGTTTTACATTAAGAACTTGAAGAAGCAGTTGGACTCGTTGAACACTAACTGCAAAGACATAACCACTGCAGGACAAAAATGGAAAAAAAGCATGATTAGATTATTTTTAAATATTAATTAAAAATAGGTTAGAAATAATAATAAATAACTTTAGAATGTGTAGTCAAATCTCAAAAACTTTGACCACTAATACACACAGAAGAGTTAGGACTTGAAAATTGAAAACAATATCAGTGGATTAGCCATGAAGAATTGTTTCAGATGTCTATGATTTTAGCAACTTTTACTAAGAAAAAACTATAAAAAGTAATGTCACAACATGTGCCCTTAGGCAAGTACAAAAGAATGGAGGTAATAGAAGTACTAGAGAACACAAAAAAAAGTAGATGGTTGGCATGCATTAAAAGTAGATTATCACCTGCGTGCTTAACCAAAAGAAAAATACCATCAAACATGCTCATCTAATATATGATGATATCACACAACCTCAAAGAAGAAAACAATACCAAAAAAAGCTAAGTATATAAAACATTATAACATTAAGCATTCTCAACCCTTAGTTCAAATATGCTTGTTCTTTTATGGGGTACACATGACATGTAAATATGTGTATGCCCAATGAGATTTATACTAGCATATTGAAAAGGTTGGGCATTTTAGCTATGTATAGTATGACTCAAAGGTGAAACTATCATATGTTATCAGTAAATTGACTCTTACCCCACAAAAAATCGCAGTGCTGGCTGCTCCTGATCCAAATTTAAAAGTGCTCCTTCATTCTCATTCAAAACTGACCCTAGTATCTCTTTCAGAAGCTCAGGAAACTGGGAGAACAACCATAGAACTCCGAGGTACTTAAGGATGCCTCGCAACACCTTTTTAAGAGCAGCAAGAGGAACCCATGCACCACCATAGCCACCATAGTCCCCAAGAGCAGTAAAAGTTGAGCTCAACTCACTCCTCATATGAACAGGAAGGTTTGTTCCAGGAGAAGGGTGTGGAGGGGCTCCAGCATTTCCTGAAGCATATTTTGAAGAATTCACAACAGCACTGCCTGCACGAATGAAAGTAGGTGCCACCTGGTTACCAATATTTGTAGTTGGTCCAGAAGTAGCTATACCGTGAGCACCATGAAAGTGGTTCAGAGCAAGAGCTGATTGCTGACCTCCAGAAGCTTTGTTGATGCTGGCCTTCAATTGTACACCACTATGTCTAGCACTCATAACACTGGGTTCAAAAGCATTTAAACCCTGAGCAACATGCTCCAATATGAAAGGTCGAAATTGTGGGCAAGGTAAAGATCCCCCAATTGAAGGTCCGCCATTCGAGGGGTTGCAGGCTGCAGCCATACCTGATCTCCACTAAAGCAACGTATGTCGAAAGAGAAAATCTTGCGATATATAACACGTATCCAATATGGTCCACGAAGCACAACAGTAACGTCAAAAGGCAATGATGGACTAGGAACTAATCCAGGCCCACCCCGCCCTGCAATAGAAAGGGCAGAACTCTGAAGATTATACTTGTTAGAATGGGCTACCGCAGGACTCAGTGGGGCAGATATATTTTGCGCAGTAGTTGATGAGTCATTTGCTGTTGCCCCTTCTGACTGATAGCTATTTTGCTTTGGTACAGAACTGTAACCAGCAGGAAGTGTCACAGGCATTTTTGTAGGGCGAATTGCACTACTAAGGGCAAGTAATGGTCCAGCTGTAAGCCTGACGCTGTCCAAGAATGATGCTACCTCACCCACATTCACGAAATCCTCCAAAAACTGCATTATGTAAACTCAGTTATAAAAACAACAAAATCACATGGTAGATTAGTTCACAGACATTAGCATTAGAGGTTGTGCTACTGGATTTACAATACATCATGGTAATGTGGTAAACTAAATTTCCTTTTTGCCAGCCAGCTTCTGCTAGTGAAACCAAGTTCTCTATGGACAAGTGGACAACATTTTGGCCAACATATAAATTGAGTATGGCTGGTGAGCAGTGAAATGCATCTGTCCTGCTTGTCTGACAAATACAAGGCAATCATATTGATCAACACCACACGGCACATATAACCATAGAAATATGAAACCTACATAACATAATTATCATGTCAACAAAACATGTGTTAGCCCACAATCAGGTGCGGACCATCACCCCTCAGCCTCACACACACACACACACACACACACACTTCAGGGATAGTGGAGAAGTGAGAGCACAAACAAAAGCAGGAGTGCTGCTGCACTACTCAGGAATGGTGCTGCTGCTGAACTGCTCTATTACATTACACCATGGTTGCACTACTCAGGAATGCTGCTGCACTAGTGTTCTCACCACAGCTTGGCTGCAGTCTTGACTGAAAGTTGGTCTGCAGTTGCAGACAGCAGACTATTCAACATCATTTAATCCAAATTAAGTCAATTACAAAAACAATTAAATCAATGATTATCGCAATTTTGATTTCGATGAAACAAGCAGTAAGAGGCTATTCTCATCTGCCAAATGCTAGCCAAACACAAGGAAATAAATGTTGAACAACACCATACATCACTAGACACAGAAGATTTGAAATGTAACATCATTCCCGTGTCAGCCTATCATCAGTTTGTCCAAATTGATTCAAACTCGAATTCAACTATATATTTTTCCCCTCAAATACGCAGGAGAGCAGTGTAGCATTTCATTAAAGAAAAAATAAAGATTAAAAACAGACAACGCCAGTCCCCAACTTAATTTACCGCAAATTGAAACTAGATTATATCATTAATTTACCGCAAATTTAATTGAATGAAATAAGGTGTGATTCAGTAAGATGCTGTAAAATGCATTAAAAATAAGATGTGGTAACAGAATAAACAGCACTTATCAGTGGTGCATTACTACCTACAAAGACAGCCTTATTGAAATTCTTTATAAATGAACCAGCAATCTCGACACAGTGAATAAGTGAAAGTTTGGCATTGTCTACTGGTTCTTGACTGAAACTTTCATAATATAGCAGTTTACAACAGCGCAACTAAAATACAGTGAAAGTCCAGACAAAAAACATGGCTTGAAAGAGACTAAGGTTTTAAAGCAGGAAAAGGCATATATTGGGATGAGAAATATTGGAGATACTACCTGTTTCTTCCTTAACAGATACATGGCATTCCTCCTATAGGAGGAACTTGACATGACCCCTAAGAAACAATATTTATGAAAAAAAAGAAACTCAACTAACCAAAAGCTAAGTATTCTCAACTATAATTTCCATGTGATGTTCATAGTGAAGTGCCATAACATGTACTGAACAGTACTGCTGCAGTAATTAGCAGCGCTGTCAAGCAAAGAAGCATATTAAATAACTAAATAAAAATTTCAAAATGCACCATTGCATAATGTACACATATCATGTAACATTAAGTGCATACGAGAAAAGGAAAACATGGGATCATAATATTAAGCATAGACAAACCTTTGTATGTGGCCAAAGTTGATCTGGAGAAACATGAATAAAGCAGCCACCATCACCAGCCTTCCACTCAACAACAAAGTGAACCATAGGCACAGCAACATAACTGAACCACAAGCTCATCAAACCAATAGCTTCAATCCTGAAAGTTTTCCTCATCTGTTGAGATAGCCTGTGTCTGCTACCTTTTCTTGCATTTATCTCCACAGATGTCACTTTTTCATCTCGCTTGTCATCAACTTTTACACCAATCAATCTCCGCATTCGACAAGAAAATGCATGTGCATTTGAAAGCCGTTGTAAATCTGAGACAAGCCTGCGTATACTATCAGCCTCAACAGTGTGATAAGTCAAAACGACCCCATCGTCATCAAAAGTGATATGTGAATCTATTTCAGAAGTGTTAAGCTATGCGAACACCAATACCCCATTTGGTAGTAGCACTTCCTCCATGGACTTTCCAGAGTGAACCATAATATGGATCGTTGATCCTAACATCCCAACACATACATCCACTTTTACTGGGCGTAAGCATACATGTTTCCATGAATCCTCTTTAAGAAAGGGTAACCGCAACCAAAGATTAGAAGATGCCAGTCCACAGCACTACTTCTGCATATGAGATGCCAAGAGAATCCATCTGGGTAGTGAGTTGAGCATATTTGATCAAATGTGAACAGTGCTTTATGACACGACGAAGTAAGGAGGCATAACAGGCCGATGTAACACAACAATTTTCTTCTGTAAATATATTTCCATAGGTGACGGTTTTTTCAGATTGCGCACTGGACGAATATTCCTTAAAAAGAATACCATCCTTCATATGTTCTGGTGCTTTTCTTCGTTTTCTTGGCCCATCACTGGTTCTGGATTGTTGTAATGATGGGATATTCAATAAAAACTCTGAAAGATATCGTTTCCTAGAAGACCCTCCAAATTGCATAGTGGTGATATTTCCCAAAACTGCAAATTGCCAAACAGCATCACAACAAGAGCGATAGCTTATTAGATATCAGCATAGACAGATGGCTCCTTGGATATCAGAGAGACAAAAATCCCAAGTTAACAAAGAAAATGTAAAAGTACCTCCTTGGCCATCTGAAGAAACAGGTTGAAGAGATTCACCTCCATGCACAATATTATGGCCTCCTGGAAATCTCAACGAGCTAAAATCATGACCGGACTTGCATGAGGACATGAATGAAATTTGGGCGGTGCCTGAACTGGAAATAGCATTTGTACACTTAAAGTGGTTCAGATTACTCAGCAGATCACTGTTCAAACTTACACCAGGTTTAACTTCTGAAAAATTAATGTCAGAATGCATAAAGTTTCCATCCAGCTCAGGTGGGCAAACTGTGCCACTGACCCCCTCAGCACCAACTTGGTAAGAATTTAAATGATTAGAGGCCAAACTATGTGGTGGCAGAAGCTGATTCTCTGTGGTTGAAGAACTTAGATTATGCTCAAATACTTCATCAACAAGAGAAGAAAAAGAAGACGACGATGATAGATCGACTCCTAAAAACAAAATCCCATAAAAGTCCTCCTAGATACATCATTTAACAATGAACCATCAATCTTGCAAAACATTATCTACAAGTTATGGGCACATCTGCTGTGGTAAACAGGATCTCTACTGAAACACTCATTTTGGTATTGTTGGTTACAATAATGATATTTGTTAGAACTAGAAAAACCTTGCTAAGAATATTTGCTAAGATGGGCAAGGAAAAATGGGTGGCCATTGGGAAAGCTAGATTGGCTCCCTCATGTGGCCAAGGATGCTGCGGTCCATTAGACAATGGTAAGTGATATTTTAAGTAACTACTAATTTTATTTTATTTTTTGCAAGGGAACATACAACCGTTCATTTTCTAAAACTCTTGCATAGTGTCGGATTCATAAACCCGGGGTCCCTCATGGACCTGCTTCCCAGCAAAAGCTTGGCCCAGTGAACGACGTTGCGAATGATGCGCAACTCCTGGGCCGACCCAAAATAACTAAAACTACAGGCTAAAAGGGCGATCCAGTCTCCGACCGGAAGGCCTGCCAAAGAGGAACGACGCTCGCTTCCGACTCTGGCCCGCCTCTCCGACCGGAAGGCCTGGTCAAAGAGGAACGACGCTCGCTTCCGACTCTGGCTCGCCTCTCCGACCGGAAGGCCTAGACAAAGAGGAATGACGCTCGCTTCCGAGTCCGGCCCGCCTCTCTGACCGGAAGGCCTGGCCAAGGAGGAACGATGCTCGCTTTCGACTCCGGCCCGCCTCTCCGACCGGAAGGCCTGGCCTAGGAGGAACAACACTCGCCTCCGACTCCGACTCCGACCCGCCTCTCCGACCGGAAGGCCTCGCTTCTGACTCCGACCTGCATCTTCGACCGGGGATGCACCAGACCTCTGCTTACAGCTCTTCTCCGAATGGCGTAGTAGGAGCCGACTGGGACCAACCGACCGGGGACACCCGCTCGATGAGGACCCAGGAAACGGGTGGAGCGAGTAAGACGGGGCACTCAAGTCAACCGCAATACCAGGGACCGTACCCTGTACACCTACAGGACAGAACCGACATGGGCATGTCACAAGGGTGCCCTGCAACCTTCCAGGCCTGTCAGAACCCAAACAGTGTTGTGGGCGCCATCAATTCCCATATCAGGCGGACACGGTAAATCCCCCCACATGCCTCTAGACATCGACAGTGTTGTAGGTGCCGTCATTTGCCATACATGGTGAATATGCTAAAACCTCCCACATGCATCCGACATCAACAGTGTTGTGGGCGCCTACAATCATCTTGTACCTGACGGCGTGGACAACAAGACTTAGTAGCTTACGTACTCTCTCTCTCTCTCACTTGTAAGGCCGTCCCCTTCATCTATAAAAATGGATGGCCTCTCTCCCAAAAAGAGGACTCAGACCGAACGACTCGAACACACAGACGATTCGAACAACCAATGATCGATTCACTCTCTGCTAGCTTTAGACACTCTAAAGCTACATAGAGCACACGCTCGAATACTTAGCGCACGTAGGAGCTCTCGTCACTCTCGGCCCTTCGGTCCGGAGTCCGACCGGACCTCTTGCTCCCCCATCTTTCTCCCTCTCGTTTGTAACCCCACAGCAAACTTCGAGCACCTGGGCATAGGAATAAAGTCATCGACTGACTCAGACTGGACGTAGGGCACGTTGCCTGAACCAGAATAAACCCTGTGTCATTGAGTGCTAGGCCATATCCGATTACAACGTACGACAAAAATACAAATATTTACGTGTTGGTCACTTTCTGCACCGACAGTTGGCGCCGTCCGTGGGGAAGACGTTGTACGTTCACGCATTTGGTCATCGGATGGCCCACCTTTCCGCCATCTTTCCCATGGCGGACTCAAGCGATATGACTCGCTTCGGCTTGCTGTAGTTTCCCGCACTCCCACCTGTTGGGATGTGGGTTCCACCCATCTTCGAGCCGTCCCAGACCTTCCTCTTCGGAAGCCTAGATTTCGTCGTCGACCGGCTCGGCGTGCTCCGCCTCCGCGAGGAGGCACCCATCCCAGCGCCCGTCGGATGGGCGCCCTCCGTCGGCTCCGGGACTCCCGGCGACTTCAACGACGAGGCACCTGCGCTTCGTTCCGAGCATACGCTCTGCTCAAACCCCGCTATGAGTAACGTACAAACTGTTATTTACTCGTTATTTGCTATCTTCCGCCAATTATCCGGAGGGACCCCGTTGTCCGCACCGCAACCGCCATTCGACCGGTTACCCTACGGCTCGCGCGTCCCCATGGACGCCAGACGCGACGGGGGCTCCGGAAGATGCAGACGTCGCCCCCTCTCACATCCGAATTGGTGGGAATGACAAGCTACGCTCCCACCTCTTTCCACGAACTCGTGGATAACGAGGTTGAGAGTAACGGCTCCAGCATCGGCGACGTGGCACCTAGCCAGCGTCCGTCCCGGGAACGCGTGCTGTGGCGGACGCTCCGGGACAGCCGCCGGTGGTAGCGGAGTCCTTGTAGACTCACACCCCTCCGGACCCTCGTGCGGGGGCCCTCGCGCTCGCACAAGGGCACGGCAAGGAGCTACGACAACGGCGGCAGAACCAGCCGCCACTGCCGCCGGCGGCGCTTCGGTGCGCCTACGTAACCATGCCTTTCGGTTCAAGAACGCTGGCGCCACCTATCAACGGTGCATGCAAAGAATGCTTCGCCGATCAAATCAACCCGCTCAACCAACTCGATCGATCGACCGCCAAAACCAACCATTGCCGTCTATGTGGATGACATAGTGATTAAACGGCTCAAGCTTGCGACCGATCGCAAACTTGGCCGCAACATTCGCAAACCTCGAAGGTTCAACATCAAATTGAATTCGAAAATGTATTTTCGGGTTCCGAAGGGAAGCCGCTTGGTACATCGATCCGAACGCGCAGCATCGAGGCCAATCCCGAAAAAATCACGGCCATCTCCAATATGGGCCCTATACATAACGTCAGGACGTACAAATGCTCACCGGCCGTCTGGCTGCCTGGTGATTCATCTCTCCCGCTCGTGACAGGATGCCACTCTACAAGCTCCTCAAAAGACGGACGCTTCGTTTGATCGAGGAAGCTCAAGAAGCCGAGAGCCTTAAAGCGCCACCGACGTCGGCCCCAATCTTTGTCGCGATCGAATGGGGAGAACCCCTCCTCTACGTCGCGCCAAGCAACCACGTGGTGAGCGCCTCCTCAGACGGGACGTGACCTGGGCATGGCCCACCACTACCGCACGCCGGGCACGGGAAACAAGGCGCAATCAAGACGTTAGCGGCCCTCCGTCTTCCCAGGCAAGACTTCGAAGGGCCCAACGACGGATCTCCGCCTGGAGAGACCAAGCGGGCTTCTTGAGTCGATCGGATGGCTCAGCGTAACGCCGAGAGGCAGTAAGGAGCAAAGGGCGCCCCATGTGGGCCATGCCGACTCCGGCCACTTAACGACAAAGCGGATCCCGATCCGGACATATCCGATAGGAGCTCTTCAAACCCGTTACTCGAGTCATCAAGGTAACATTACCAACCCCCACTATTTCTTTATATGATCATTCATTCACCTACACGCATTCACACATTCATTCATACACGCCCGCTAACAAAACCCCCCAGGCGATTCTGCTCGAATCACCCGGGGGCTCAGAGGCTACACCCGCGGGTGCGCTGTCGAAACGAAAAAATTCCCTCGCTGGCAACACGAAAAAGACTCAGGCGATTCTGCCCGAATCACCCGGGGGCTCGGGGGTTACACCTGACGGTGCGCTCACGTGCACCCGTCGTCAAACCAATAATCCCCCAGACGATTCTGCCTGAATCACCCGGGGGCTCGGGGGCTCCTGTCGGGTTCATAAACCCGGGGTCCCTCATAGATCTACTTCCCAGCAAAAGCTCGGCCCAACGAACGACGTTGCAAACGACGCGCACCTCCTGGGCCGGCCCAAAATAGCTAAAAGGACAGGCCAAAAGGGCGATCCAGTCTCCGACCGGAAGGCTTGGCCAAGGAGGAACGACGCTCGCTTCCGACTCCGGCCCGCCTCTCCGACTGGAAGGTCTGGCCAAAGAGAAACGACGCTCGCTTCCGACTCCGGTCCGCCTCTCCGACCGGAAGGCCTGGCCAAGGAGGAACGACGCTGGCATCGGACTCCGGCCCTCCTCTCCGACCGGAAGGCTGGCCCAGAGGAACAACGCCGCCTCCGACTCGACCGCCTCTCCGGCCGGAAGGCCTCGCTTCCAACTCCGACCCGCCACCGACCAGCGATGCACCGGACCTACGCCATGCTCTTCTCCGACTACCGCAGCGAGAGGCGATCGTCGGGGACCTAATACTGTGGATACCTAAGGAGGGACTAATGACCACCAAACGTTGACACTTCCGATCGACGAGAACGCTATCTGCGTTTCTTGTCCGAACGACTTAAGACCGGGTTCCGCTTGCCCGATCTTCGAGGGTCGGCTCGCCTCGCCCGACCTCGAGGGCGGCTCCCGCTCGCCCGACGTCCGGGCGAGGGCTCGCCTCGCCCGATGGCGAGGAGTGCTCCGCCTTGCCCGACGTCCGAGGCGGAGACTCACTTAGCCCGATGGCGAGGACAGCTCCGCTTGCCCGACGGCCAAGGGCGAACTACCGCCCCGGACGAAAGTACACCCTACGCCTTCATAATGACGAGCACAGAGTACGACATGACATTCGAGTCACACACAGCACCAAGGACCATGTCCTGCACCACGGCAGGAAAGTACCGCCAGGGTACGACGGGATGGGCACTTTAGACCATTCCTGGCTTGGCAGAGTCCGAATAGTGTTGTAGGCGCCGCCTTCAGCCCTCGGACATGGAACCTGACATAGACATACGACAACCACTACTGGTCCAAGAAGAGACGCGCCACCCACGATACGAACGACGACGGTCACGCGACCGTCACGCTCCAGCAGGCAGCTACAGTCAACACCCTTGTCCGATATGCCGCCCGGAGGGGCGGGACGGGACATGACCACTTGCTGATCCGGTAAGGGCATGGCATCGTCAGCACACAGGCATCCGGCGAACGTGCCAATCCCTGACACCGTCTCGCCGTGTCGGCCGAGGGTCGCTCTCAATGAAAAGGAGGACCCAACACCTTCGGAGGGGCTTCTTGCCCTTTGGTTTTTCTCCTTTCTCCCATCTGTAACCCCTGCTCCCCCCTTGGTCTATAAAAGGGAAGATAGGGCACCCCACTAAGGGGATCGACTCT